AGTTGGTACACGGATCCTCATTGTTCCAGTCAACGCAGCTGTAAATGGGTACAGATAATCTAGGAAAGATCAATAGCAAGAGGTTTGGCCAAGGACCAGCTGGTAGAAAGGATCCTCATTATTCCAGTCAACCCAGCTGTAAATGGGTACAGATAATCTAGGAAAGATCAATACCAAGACGTTTGACCAAGAACCAGCTGGTAGAAAGGATCCTCATTATTCCAGTCAACCCAGCTGTAAATGGGTACAGATAATCTGTGAAAGATCAATACCAAGAGGTTTGGTCAAGGATCAGCTGGTAGAAAGGATCCTCGCGAACCTAAGTTATTATCCTTATAAAACATAGTTGTTTCTTTCTGATATTATGTTATGTTTTTAAACATGCACGTGTTATTTATTCTCGCTCTCTAAAACATGACAGAAAACATAACATATAAAAATATAACATATCCGTTACATGCTACCTAGTTTGTTAAACTACCATCTGAAGTGCCGTTTCCGCGCTTCTTTGTTGATAACCTGGCATCTGACTACGTTGCACAGGTGGCAATTCGGCGGTCTTACATTTGTTACGTGGTTCTTACACTATTATGACTTGGTGACTTCATCAACAAGTAAGAGTTCCCGGTTTCGATTCTGATATATTTCGAGGCAACACGTTCGAATTTTGAACCCATGTTCCTCTGTCAGTTAGTAGGTCCTTCATGACACACTTTGATTGGTGAAAAATAATGTCGTTAGAACTGGACTGTGGTAAAAAACTTGTTAGATTTTAAAGGGGAAGGAAATTTTAATTTAATTTGATTAGATTGGTGATAATGAAATAAAATAACTGGACTTCTGCGTCTTAATGGGATAATAAAGAGGAACAACGCAATGAGGGAAATTTTCCAATACAGCGGCATTAGCCTACTCTTTAACGTGCACAGCCTGTAGCATGCGGGGCCGTGGGACTAGTAGATTTGGGGAAAGTTGTCCTTTAAACAGAAGATGCAACTATAATGTAACTATGGTAAATATATCGTATTATCCAAATAAATAATATTTTTATATCCAGCTGAGTAAATCAGATTTTTCTATTCACTAAATGATGCTGTAGCCTTTTATATCAATATCATGTATTTTTCTACAGTACGGTGTGGGACATTAGGGCGTCATTAAAAACTTAATAGCGGGATTTATTTACACAGTTGTGCTATCTGTTTTCATGAGTTGATGGGATATTAAAGGCCATGGTTCTGGGGTTGATTTGGGTCTTGAATATAGTATGTAAATAGTCTTCAGAAGACTTGAAAGAGTACATATAATAAACACAAGAAAATTATCAAACACAACGTTTCAACACAATTTACAGTGACGTCATCAGATGAAAAGACTATTACTGATTAGTTTACCTTAAAATGATTAGTCAAACGGATGGTGAAGCTGTCCCTTTAAAGGGAGTCGTTCTCGTAATGCATACGTTCGATTGCATTTACAACCCAAGCTTTGACTTTAAGCGGTGGTTAATCATGATTTCGGCTATGTGACTGAAATCTTCAATGAAAGAAATGACCTTTTACTACCGAAAACTAGTATAACCGCCATATACTGTTAAAAGCGTAGATGCTGATCCTAAATCGAATATTTCCATGCAAAAACTCAGATTGCAATGTTTCTTCATGTTTTAAATAGATTCTTTCACCAATCACTAATGATCTAACGACATTTTGCTTTAAATCGCGTTCAGTTAAATTGTGTTCTCCTTTCTAGTATAACAAGTGAACTACCGAGATCTATATTTTTATCAAATTTTAGATTTCGTTTAACTGGGTCAGATTCTTTAAGGCGTATCTTACCCAGTATTATTTATACCTAGGATTGTATCTTTAAAGTGTTTCCTATCTTCACCAGTACCTGTATAATTGCCGACTCAAGAAAAATCTGTCTTATCGTTTGGAATAATTATAAGTGCAAGCTATCAGGTGAACCAATTTTTGGTTTTAAATTGGATTACACGAAAGCTATATGATAAGAACTAATTTAAACTTCTAAAGGCCATATTCCACGGGTTGTTATTTTTTCGCGCCAAACGATTTTTTATGCCAATTTGGCCGTTTTTGGGACAAACGAGGATGATTTTTTTTCACGCAAAACAAATTTTTCGTATCCCCGCATATTTGCAAAATCTACTTCATTCTTTTGAGACGAAATATTTCGCTGACAAAAGCTGATTGAAAAATCACCAGAAGTTATTCCGCCTCAAAAGAACAAATAGACAAATACAAACGCTTCCTGAGTAGGAAAACTGTGTCTAATACCTTGACATCAATATTCATTAGGCACTTTTCTTTTATAATCACTAAATTTGTACCTTTGATTGGAATGTACGCGAGGAAATACAGCCAAACAGAGCTCTTGATTAGTACTTTTCGAGGGCTCGGAAGTCGTATTCTTATACCTTGACATTGTGAAGATGGTCACCGATAGACAATTATGTCTGTGAACAATGACGTCAGAATAGAGATAACATCATCAGAGCAATCAAATTTGCGAAGCTCTTATATTTGGAGGCGAAAAAATTCATTTGGCGCGAAATGAATCAACCTGTGGAAAACGGCCTTAAAACCAGAGAACCAAAATAACTCGCTTATCTCTGGCACAAACTTATTAAATTCCTTCTTATCTGGAAAAAACGAACTCGGTAGTTAGTGGATATTCTGTACTTATATTCCAATTAACACCGCAGCTTGTCTTATTAGTTTCAATGGCTCAGCCAGTTAGACTGAGAGATATTACCTTTAGGTTCATTAGTCCTTATCTCTGTGAGTAATGCACTATATTTACATTAGCTATTATTTTGCCCATTGGACTAATACAAATTTGTGTGGTGTTTATATCACGTCATTGCCTCATCACCAAAACATTAGGCGTAGTAATTGTAACCAATGACGCCCCTACCCGTATACAGCTAGGTCGACCGAAATGATTTACCACGACAACTATTTTTCACCATTCTACTAAACCAAGCACATGACGTCAAGATTCCACCACTATGTAAGGTATGGTCGTTCGCATCGTATCACGAATACGGGTTTTGACATGGTCTTATTAACCCGTATTAAACTAAGCCCACTACACTTCGTTTTGTGGGCGTGGAAATGAGATGGGTGCTATTTAAAACTGACCAATCAGATCGGTAGAACAGAAATGAGGTAAACAAAATACAACATCGCTTTACCATCGCCCGTTTGAAGAGATAAGAACTCATTCTTTCCAAGTCAATATTCCAAAGTAAGGTTTGATTTTTTCTCGGCTTCAATTCTTTACCGAAAATCTTACTCAATTCTGTATCGTACATATTCATCAAAATATATAATGGTACGCTGCTTTCGTTTTGTTTACGTTCACAAACAAAGTGTCATAACGAGTGATTTGTTTTGATTGGCCGAAATTTTGCTACCAATACAGTAGGGACAATTTTGATTGGACAATATTTAGCTATGAATACGTGATTTCTCTCACTTGTG